ATGTATGTAATTAAAGTAAGTCGAAGTGAAAATTTATTTCAAATAAAGATTATTTAATTTTTTTTTAATGGATATCGACCCGTTCATCTACTAGGTAGGGGATGAAAATTGAGAAGACTCAGTTGAGTACCAAGTATCCTAGGTTCGATTGAAATGGACAACGAAACTGACGAAATAAATTGTAATCGTCTCCAAACTAGGGTCAGGTACGTTCTCTGCCTCTGCTGTAAACTTACTTCAAAGAATATTGAAAAAAAAAATCCTCAACTTTTGTCTAAAGCAGTGTTTGGATTGTTCAACCAGAGAACGTTTATAATTGTTCAACTTTCACAGGCGATTAGTGAAATCAAAAGCTTAACGAAAGTTGGCTGTTGACCAACTTTAATGAAAGCGATTTTTAGCCGTAATATTGTTCATTATGCTTGTTCGACTTAATTAAGTATTTAGTATATAATCGTGGTTTTATTGTTTAATTTATGACTATTAAATTTTATATTATTCGTATTAGGTGATTCTATATCGATGTAAGCGCGATTTAAGATTAACGAAAAATTACTAGTTCGAAGGTATTTATAGTCAAAAGGCTGTACGTAGCTATTATATTTTGCTATTATTTGTCGATGAAAATGTTAAAATTTTCTTTAGCTACGAAAACAAGAACACGACTCACATAGTAAAATACTGAGTTTTGACAACAATCAAATATGTACTCGAAATGCTAGACATCATGTTTATGTATGTATGTAAAAATGCATAAGAATAGACGCATAAACTAAAATTACAAACAAAAAAAAATCAGTTTATAAATTATTAAATAAAATTAGTACAACTTATTATTTTCGTTTACATAAATACTATAATGAATGTTTGAGTACAGTTAAGTAGTAGAAGACAATACAAAAAGTTTATAATGATAGATACAAATACATTTGGTATGCAGTGTAGATGTGTACATAAATACGTTTAGTATTTATTGTTTGTTGGTGACTGGTTGTTGTTGCTGTGGTTGAGCTTTTGTCGGCTGTGCGACTGCAGACGCTTCGTGTTGCCAGTTGCAGCAATTCCGCTTTTTGTTGTTGCTCATTGACGTTGCTGGCGTTGAGAGCTATGCGTCACTTATGCAATATCAACACACCACATCCAACGGCTATGCGTATGTATGTATGCATGTGTTGCATGCAACACGTGCCGACACGATGCGTTGCAACAAGTGCAGTTCGGTTTTTCATGGCTTATTGCTTATTATTCGGCTTTCCTTCTTATTTTTCATTTGAACACACATAAACTACGAGTACTGGGTACTGGGTACGCAGTTCAAGGCGCCAGTTCTGTTTTTATTGCGATTTTACTTTTCTTAAAATTATTATTATTATTTTTTATTTCATATATGTTTGTATGTATGTAGTATATGTATTTGTTTGCATTTATTTGCATTTAAGCGTAATCGCGTGCACTATCCAGTTTTCTCATCTGTATATTTTAAGAAAGGTGAGACACGTTTTAATAGACAAAAATCTATGATATAAATAAATAAGATTAGAGAAGTAAGCAAATGAGATAAGCAGGTTATAGGCTATGTACAAAAGTATGTATGTATGTATGTATGATGCAATGTTTCTTGTTGGCAATAAATTTTCTTTTTTGTTGTAATTGTATGAGAGCATGTTGTATGAGTATGCATGTAAATATGTATTTATGTAAATAAATAGGTACAAAGTTTAGTTTTTTTTTTATGTGAGTGCAAGTGCATCAGCGCGTGAGCTTGCATAGATAATAAATGAAGTGTAATTTCAGAATTTCAGCATTCGATTGCACGGATCGTTTCTATAACTATTGTATAATATGAATTGCAAAATCACATACATATTTTCTCAACACAACTTGCCTCCGATCCGCACAATCAAACACTCGGAATTCGTTTGCTTTTCGTGTATTTTTTTTTGTTTTGTTTTTTTTGTACTTTTATAGTTTATTTCTGTTTAGTAGAAATCTGAGTCTTTCCAGCCTTTAACAAAGCTCACCTCACGCTCATCAGCGTGTGTCCGATATTTGTCGGACACTTCAATCACTTTAACGCTGGTCATGACTAGGGGCTTTTCCAGCACTTGGGTGTAGATAAGCGCCGCTGCTATGCCACCAAGTATGGGACCTGCCCAGTATACCCAATGTGCATCCCAATTGTCGACGGCAAACGCTGTGCCAAGTGTACGTGCCGGATTCATGCTGGCGCCAGTGTAACGAATTGTACCCAAGTGGCCGAGTGTGACAGAGAGTCCGATAGCGAGTGGGGCAGTGTAGCGTGAGTCTAAAAGGAGGGAGAGAGGGAGAGATAGAATTAGAAAATAAATATGTACATACATGCGTAGATGAAAAATGTGGAGGCATCTATGCCCACAGAGAAACTAAAGTGAAGTTTCTCCGCTTGAATTTAAATTTTTTATACGGATTTATGTATATGGAAGTACTTTGAGAAAATTTCTTAAATTCCGTTTGGCCTCTGGACGTAACTGGGAGAAAAGGAACTCTTTGACAAGACCTTCAGCAACCGGTTGGCTCCCAAATGTTCCTCAATATTGTCATAGAAGTTTTTCCATGACAAATGCTGTTACCGAAGGTGACAGGTAATGAGATCAACGGAAATAAGGTCAATTGACTTTATTTCACACCTTTTCAAAAGCGAAATAAAATCCTTTGACATTATTGCTCTTTCAAACTTTAAAATTGCTTAGCTTCCAGGCGGCGGACTCGTCTGGGCGCCACACCTCGCTCCGTACCCCGCGCGACCGTCACGCCACACCACGTCACGCTACGTCGCGGCGTAAATTTTGAAATTTATAATATCTTGTAAATTCCCTTCCCTAGAACGCAGATTTAATGTCGATTCGCTTGTGGGTGACAAAAAAGGCGAAGTTTGTAGCAACATCTTATGGAATTGAAGAAAGTTGTAAATATTTTTTTCAAAGCCACGATTCCAGGACTTTGAAGGCGTTCCTAAGCTAAACACTTTTCAGACCAAGCTTTTAAGATCACATAAAACCAAATATGGTATTTTACTATTGGCATTTTCCTTCTTTTTTTGATTGGCATTAGTCCAGTGGCCAGTGATCGTACTAATTCACCTAGTCTTTCTATCGCAGAGAAGGCCACCACCTCCTTCTCTGCCACCATCAGCGGGTTTTCAAAGCTGTAGCATTTTAATCCATTCGTACGAAATGGCTTAGCCGTACTGCAACCGTTTGTCGGTTTAGGGCGAGACCAAACAACTTCGCTAATCGCCCTTCTGCTTTGCGAATTTGCGCCAATTGTTCATTCCGAGTGCAGATAGGTCCTTCTGCACGTGGTCCTCCCCTTTTATTCATAGGCGCCTTCGCTTTCGTCATCCACCCACGACTGCCGAAACTGAAAACTCCAAGGATATGTATGGGTCTTTTCCAAGATTTTGGGCATGTTTAATACCTCGAATGGCAGTGACAAATTTCTTGTGGATTATGCAGAGACTAATTAAATTCTAAGCTTCAAGTATGCTTTCAAACGGAACGTCGATTCGTCATTTGGTTGGGGACTCGGGAGTATTCGATAATTTTGGCCACTGCTGCCATTCTGCAGCATGGAGAATTATTTCCTACATAACTTAAGGGCACGCTGGACGTCTGTTACTATGTCACCGTTCACAGGAGCTCGCGCCGGTCTTGAAATCTTCCGTAGGTCACCGAACTATGTGGACCATTTTCAAGCTCTGCGCACCCAACCATTTCTGAGCTTACGATGAGATGGACCATAATTATCTTTTTCGGCATATATTTAATACCAACCAACCACCGACCAATTCATGAACCAATATCGAAAACTTACATTTTCGATGCAAAACACAGAATTCTAAAATCAGTTAAATAAATTCTTAATTCCCACCTGGTTTACTAGCATCACAAGCACCAAAAACGGTGAGCACCAACACCAGTCCCAAGAAGAACTCAATACCGAGACCCTGTAGCTCGGTAATATTCGGCGCGAGATGTGTGTGACCTAAGCCATTGTAGTAAACCTCATCGATGAGTGTCTGGAAGAACAAAATATTGTCATTAAGGTGCAATTAAATTAAAAATATTATAAAAGCATTAAGTATATAGGTCAATTAAAGAAACAGTATACTCACACGAACGGCTGCGGTGCCGGCAATAGAACCCAAACATTGGAATATGATATAGAATACAGCACGCAAAACGGTCACACGCCCCGCTACCAATAAACCAATAGTGACGGCTGGATTTACGTGACCGCCGCTAATATTGCCAATAACCTAAAGTGTTTGAAAATGTTTAAATATTTTGTTGTTGTAGACTATTTACGCCAGTATCGTTTATGGTATTTTAGTGTTATTTAGTGCTGGTACATACATAAGTACATAAGTTAATTATTACAATATTTACATCTGGACACGTTTTCATTTTTGAGCAGACAAAATGCATTCACTGTTTATGTACATACAGTATCGGTCATATCAATAGCACCCCCATTTCAAGGTCATATTGTTTGCTACTCATGTTTATTTGTTTATTTTCAGAAATTTTCAATTAAAATATGAGTTCATTCTTTAACAAACCCCATATAAACCCAAGTTTAAAACTTTGTGAAAGAGTACAAAAAATTCAACAAATTTTCTCAAAAATTTTAAATTTTATTTCTCAGAAGTGTAAGTCAGTTTTATAGCCCATACAATTTTAGTCTGATAATGCGCAAGTTTCAAGTGCTAAAAATTACCATTGACTTTTTAGATTTTTTTGTCTCAGTAGCTTTCATATAACGAATAAGAACAATTTATTTGTATAAGGAAGAAACCCGCAACACCTTCGGCAAAAAAAATCAAACAAATCAACGATAATTTTTAGCCACTTGCAACTTGCACATTATCAAACTAAAATTTAATGGGATATAAAACTGACTAATACTATTGAAAAAAAAATTTTAAATTTGGGTGGAAATTTGTTGCATTTTTTGTAGTCTTTTACAAAGTTTTGAGCTTGGGTTTATATGGGTTTTGTTAGAGAATACAGTTTATTTTAATTGAAATAAATAAATAAGTGGCAAACAATATCACTTTAAAATGGGGGTGCTATTGATATGACCGCTACTGTATGTATGCTTGTACGTGTGTACTCGTGTAATATAAATATACCTACGCTAATTTTGTGAGTGAACTTGTACTTCATCGCTATTCACTATTGCCGCCCTTGGGCTAATATGTATGTATGTTTCTGATTTAAAATCTAATATCGGGTGATCCATCTAGACCTTTTTTCTAATTTTAAATTAAACACTTGAAATAGAACTGGATGTCGGAATCTTTATTATAATCCGAAAGAAAAATCTCTAAAATTTACTTTTTTTAAATAATTGCATTCAAATGTTGGCCATATAAAGAAATAACCGTAAATAACGAGCGCTACCGCACCATGATAACGAACTTTTTATTGCCTGAAATTGAAGCCCGTGACGGCGGCAACATTTGGTTTCAGCAAGTTATTGTGTGATACCACATCCCTGGATTTTGATATAATTTTGAGTAATGTTTTCATGACTTGTTTTTGATATTATATTCTTTTGAATCAATTGAAATGAAACATGTTGAGATATTTATATTTAGCAATAATTGCAAATAATACTAATTTTATTTACTTGTCGCGCAAATTTTTTTCATAGCGATAGGTTTTAGATTACAGTGATTGAATCGAGTTTTCCACACCGGCTACCTCCGGTTTTTTTTTGGTGGATATAACTAGGTGGTTTATTTTAAATCTTAATTTTTCGAATATCGAACAGATCAGCTTTTTTGACGTAGAATACGTCTTACCTTAAGGTATGGGGGCTATGTTCAAATGTTGTAGTTGTAATTTTTAGAGCTTCACAAAAACGCTTATTGCACGAGAACTAATAAAGCGATTTCAAAGAAAAGTGTGGCGTTTCAAAGA